CATGATTTATAATAATTGGAGTAATGCAAATGCATATTTTCTAAAAAAAGTCATTTTTAGTGAAATCTTGCCAGGAATGGGGCTTTAATTCTAATTCAATGCTATAACATATACATACAATAACATCCAATCAGAATAAGGAATTAGTTTAAGACTTATAATAATAATATATAAAATAAAATATAAAATAATCTGACCTACCTCTTGTTGATAACATAAGCCTTGAACCTTTTCTCGCATCTTGACAGTCTCATCTGAGCTTTTCCTGTTGACCACCATTAACATATAATAATTAGGTGATATAAATTTGTTTAATTCGGAATGTACCTCTCTCATAATTCTAAGGATAGATTTTTAATGAAAAGTACTTATGACTATGGGATTAACTGCAGAGAGGCATCCATCAATCAACCAACCAATCAATCAATCAACCATTCAATCATTCATTAATCAATTTTTAGTGCTTAAAATTTACTGCAATGGGAATTTTAACACCAACGAATGCATGCTCTACAGATTTGTTATGCAATGTTGTTGCCCTACATATATGTCCTCAGAACTAAACACAATGTGTAGATTACTATAAATCAATAAACTTACTTGTAGAATAGAACATAGGCCTCAGCTGAAGACACCTGTTTCTCATTTACTTCTGTCACGTAGGTGTCATCAAATTCATACCACTGACCATCCAACCAATTCATGGCATATGCAGTGTAGTGACCACCTGTGAGACCCAATGATACTAATCAATCAATCAAATCATTTATCAATTGATTACTTCACTAAATTCAAAATCAGATACTACACTAGCCTAGACACTTACACTATTCCATTGGTTTTCTTGATTCAAAAATTAATTTATGTATATAAATTTATTGATTGCACAGTACAATATAGTTGTGCAGAGAATAGAAACAACAAAATTACACATAAACATCTGTGAATATTAAACTCGATTACACTGCACCACAATTCCATGTTAACTAAATCTTATACATCTAGCTACAATCATAATCTAAACAGTATCTTGAATTACACAACTGCACATGAAATTCAAGTTATTACATCAGACTTTACATTTGACACTTCGTCTATCGTTCCTATGTCTAGACAGTTCTTGCCCACTTCCTGACACAAAGTTAGGTGGGGAGACAGCATTTGATAGAAGATATGATTAACAGAATTTGAAGATAAATGCTTTTATTTTCTAAAGCAACATGTCTCACTTAATTCACTTTGTATAACTTCTGCTTTTTTTATGCTGACTTACCTCCAGCAGTACCATGATGGCAGATAACAGCATTCAGGTCATAAGTGGTCGTTTCTGATGAGCAGTCCTTGTCTAGGAACTGCCTAACGTCTAACCCTTCCAGAGGAAATTCAACATAGTTACTGATCTTGGATGAGTATGATGTCATCGATTCATGTCGAAACCGTTTCAAGTGGATACACAGTACCTCAGGAAGCTTGGTGAGTGTTGAGAACTTCACCCCATTCCTAAGTCTAATATTAAGGAGATTAATATGATTATGTCATACACAAATTAGACAATCAATGTGTTCTACTATACAAACCACAGTGCTTACGTATGAGCTAAATATAAGAACCATCTACAATTTCATGCAATATGCTCTTGCAGCATATAAGCCCACCACTAACCTCAGAGGTACAATACTAAATAAATTGCACTGCATCAAATGCTAGCTAGGCCTAGTCCTGGACTAATTACACTTCCTAGACCTGGGCTCTAGGCTAGAATCTAGGTCTGAAACCCTTTACAAAATTTTTGAACCCCTGTCGGAAAAAATCATGAGCCACCACTGAGTCTCAGGGCATTACATAGCATAGGTAGCCCTGCACAAGGGCAGCATAAAAATGATGATGGGTCCTTTTAGGCCTTTTGAGTCAGACATTACTGCCCACTGAAACTATGTAATAAGTCTGTTCTCAATGCGATATTTCATAATATATTATTAACTTACTTTTTACATTTATCGCAGCTGTACATATTATCCCCTGCAAATAGAATAATATTTAATTTATAGTTTCTTATTATGATACAGAACTGCAGTGTACAGTAATTTTATTATGCTAGTTATCACTTTTCTTTGAAACTTTTGTCTTTCTGGGAGGGCTCATTATGGATAATAATTATTACTACTATTATTACTGCTTTTTTAATGAATTAGACAATCAAAAATTACTCAGTCTATTAACAAGTTAATTTATAGAATTGCTGAAAAAAAAATCAAAAATACTGTATGACATTGACATTTTTCTTTGAAATTTTTGCTTGCAATACCTTTCATTTTAAAGTATTCAGTTATAAATATACTTTAGTCTTTCTTAAATTTTGATTTCATTTTGATGTAAATCATGTCCTATGGCAATCATGTCCTTACCTTTCAGTTCATCAGAAGAAAAAAATGCAGACAGACAATCTTCTAATGTAACCTTTGGGCCCCATATCCAACTATAAATACAAGCATGTAAAAAAAGTTTACAACATGAAAGCTTTTAAATAATTAAAGAATGAAAGAGAAGACTTTCTCTTAATAAATAGTGAAATGATATTTATTATAAACAGTGGCTGTTAGGGATAAACAATTGTTGTCCAAAAAGTACACAAAATTCAGACTCACCCTACAACCATACTGTACATCCAGTTGGCCCAGCTCTGTGTATTTGTAGTGTCTACACACGACACCATGCCTTTACTGGTCAGGCTCTGCTGCGAAGCACGAATGCGGGCCAAGTCTTCCTTCCCAACTATATAAAATAAAAATATGAAAAAAATTGGGGTTATTTTTGTGGTGAGAGTGCATATTAGCACTTCTGTTCCCTCTCTCCTCCTCTATATTTCAGGTCTAATTGAAGTTGTTTCAAATATTTTTCTAAGTTATGGGATACAATGGATGAAATAACTTAATAAAAAGAAAGTCTTTTCAAATGCTAACCTGGGATGGGTAACGACAGGTCCTGGAATGTCTCGATACGCTTTGATTTCTGTCAAATTAAAAAAAAAAATAAAATCAGTCTTATATGAATCAATTTTCTCTACCTACAAAATCTAAGGTTTCTGCTCTATATAATAATAGTATACATTGACGAATAGATACTATAAACAGGTAACCCTAATGATGGAGCTACACACGTGGGTGTGGGTGAAAAGGTGAGCTGGAAAGAAGGTGGGGCTGGGTAATCCTAGTATGTTTGCAAGCAGATTTTTCCAAAAGGCTTCTACACACATGGAAAAATGGGTAACCAAAAAGATGGATCTATGGAAAGTCGAGGTGGGAAAGTGGGTGGGGATGATGGAAAGTAGGTGGGTTGGAATGAAGGTGGCAATAATAAGGTAATAAGATAGGGAATTCCAGTATGTTTGCATGTCTAAAATTATGGTTTTTGTCACTACTACTGTCCAGGTTCACAACTACACGAACAATTAATGTATAGCCCTGTACTTCTTTCATCTACTTATACAGACAATATACTCTTCTTAAATGTCATCAAACTTAATAAATCAAAACATATTTATTTATAAACCCGGGACATGCACACAACCACAAACTTGAAAATCTATGTATGTTTACAATGTCATTTTGTGGGACTGTCGCAACAACATCTAGGGAGAGGGGTTTAGCATAACTTTTTATATCTATTTTGAGTCTGCACAGGAAACTTACTGTATCACAAGTCAGACATACAACCGAGCTGAGAACCCTGCCATCAAACACATCGGAAACTATGCTACGGTACTGAACTGGTGGCCTCTTCTTGCCACCTACAAGAATACCAATAACAAAGCATATTATTAATCAATGAATGAGTGATGGATTATCAGCTTACTGACAATGATTAACTTGTCATCTGTCACTATAAATACTGAACATGAAATTGGATTGATGTAATGAAACAAAATAATAAAATTAATCGAGTGAATATGTGCAAAGCAACATAACTGTGCAAGATGGGTTTGGATTATTAGTGCTTTACGGCCACCGCCAGTATACACTGAATTTTTAATTGTAAACCTATATTGTCAAAAATTTATATTCTATTGCAAAAGTTTATGGTACACTATTGCAGAATATAGCCAGAGCAGAGTACTCTGTTTTATATTTATTTTTTTTTATTAATAATTAAACTATTATTATACCAAATACATATTTATTATTAATTATAAATACTTTAACATGGGAGATCAATTTAGCGATGTTACCAATAGGGATACTTGATGATGCTTTTACATACAGAGTTTAATGAATCTTTTGAAGAATCTTCAAAAAAGACCATTATTTGGAAAACGAGCACAATCAAAGATGCAAAGTTAGACCAATTTGCAGGCTGGTGATTTTGTTTTATATACCCCACCCTCTAGGGGTCGCATGCCGCCCCTCCCCCAGAAAAATCTTTCCCTAGATGCTCGGAAATACATTCTTTAGGCTAGTATTTTTACAGCTGAAAATAGGTTAGGAATCCGCATTATTTTTCCTGAGAATGCATGTTTCTGCTGTCCACGAACCTGTCACACTCATATGAGTGGTAGCATGGCGGTTGGTAGTGTGTTCTTTGAACTTATCCAACGACACTGACAGGCAACATTACATTTATGCGCGAGATATTGGTCCTCAAGCGTGACACAGACCGCAAATGCGGGAGTCTCACGCCGAATGTGTGAGCCTTGACGTGTATGCACAATAAATTCAAAATTACAGTTCAATTTGATCATCTATATAGATACTTTCACAGGCTAACCTTTAACCTCAGATGCTCCTGCTTTCCTCTTGACCGCTTCTCCATCTGCTCCTTCCTCCTCAACTACATCTTTCATTTCAGTTGCTTCATTATCTTGTTCCTGTTCAGACTCAGTCCGACTCATTGTTTTCCTCCTCATTCTTCGAGGTTTATTTCCTTTTCTACGATCAGTGGGTGGACTTTGAGAGGCACTCCTTGAGCCAACTCCTTGCTCCCTCATTGATGCTTCAGACTCGGGCTCTAGTTGTTCTTCTTCAGTCAGAGTGATGGAGTTGCAGGATCTGGTTCGGACACGCTCTGACGTTACAGGTTTTTCTACAAAGTCATTTAAATCATCTTTTTCCTCCCCTGCCATATGTGTGAGAATTGGTTCTTTCAGTTCCTCATGAATTCTATCCATCAGGCAGCGGAGAAATTCTTGTGTATCCTTGTGAAAAAGTGTTTTTTTATTAATTACCTACTGTATGTAATATTATTCTCTTTATTTCTGCTCTTTAATTTAAAATTGTATTCTACTGTAGGTGCAATTGAAATCATACTCAATATTTTTTATTTATTTATTTTATATTATTTCGAACATCATCCAACAGCAAAAAGCCAATTACAGGATGTCTTAAATAAATACAATACATATAAATATAAAAAATGTTACAAAAAATATTGCGAAGAGGAACATCCTAGGCTAGAAATTACAGGTACAAAAAATACAGATAAAAATACAATAAATATACAAAAACATACACATTTTTGATAATGAATAAAATATAAATGAATCAATTTTTGTTTACCTGTTGCAAAAATCCCTTAAACATTGGGAATACTTGCTTGATTCCATTCACAAGACTTAATGGCGTAATATGACTTGGTCTATCACAAAAAATGGTATTAATAATAGTTGTCATGGTATATAATAATGATGACAATTATAAAAGCATTTTGCAACTGATTACACATATAATTAAAATGTTTTGGTAGTCATGTGGTTAGGTATATTTGATGATTTAATAGTACAGTAGTTAATTTAGTAGTACAGTACTGAAAAGCTGTAGTGATAGCAGAAGCAATATCAACAATAATGTTAACCATAGTAATTTTAGCATAAAATGAATGATAACCTGATTTTTAATATTGTGGTCTACACAAAAATTTTAATTTTTTTTTTTCAGCTTAATGAGAGAGGATTTCAACCTTTACTGGGTTACCTTTAGCAATCAATATTTTGAGCAACTATAAAAGCATCTTACCTCCGCCTTCCCCATACATCTTCCATCAGTTTTTGATAGCTTTTAGCAATGTAAGGTTTCTTCTCAGTCTTCACATAACCTCCACATTCCAGGAAAAAATGTGTAAACGGTGGGCTATGGATGAGGTAAACCAAGCAAAGAGACAAATCAGAACTACTTTATTCTTAATTTTACAGTAAAGACCCGAAAAGATTTGTTGTCGCGTCGGGTCTGTGCGAATTAAAAACAGACACGATGGTTTGCGTCTGGGGCAGTCGCGTCATAGAATGTTAAACATTTTTCACGATGGCTTAAGACTGTCCACAATGATGAATCGTGTTGGACTGTGTTGTACAAAATATGAAGGAGGTCTCAAGCCGGGTACACAGTGCTTTGACAGATGGTCTGCTGACACATTAGGTCCATTCAAAGGAAACCACAATCCGCACAAACTGCTACGTCAATAAGCAGACCGCGACACATTATTAATTTTCACACACAGCCAAGATGGATTCGTCAACTGGCCACTGGCTGACACAATATGTGCATGACCAAATAGTGCCAAAGGTTATGTGTAAACACAGATTGCACTTAAAATGCGCTTGTGACACCTATAGTTCTACAGCCATTCAACAAAGCAAGACAATTAGTAATATTATTACAAACTATGCCTCATGCCTAGAAACAAGGCATCATCAACCACAAATAAGATTATTGCTACCATAATAACAAAGAGTACCTATATTGAACGCACAAAATTAATTACAGTTAAACCGATAACCATCCGCGCAGTGTGTGCCCGGCTTAAGTGAAATAGGAGTAAGTGCATGTACCAGTTTGAGAGGGCTTGCACAGCAGCATTGAGGTAGCACGTGTTGCCCATATTTCTAAATCCTGTCAAGCCACGTGGTTTTTCGTATTCTTCAAATTCATTCAGAGCTTGTGTCACTGGTGAGTTGACACGGAACAAGGATTGTTGCTGTTGCTGCTTGTTGGCCAACCTTCACAAATTATGAAAAGAAATGAAAAGTAAATCTGTTCATAGCTTATAAATATAATAAATATTATTGTGTTAGCTTCTCATCATTAATGATGTTATTACACCAGGATAAAAATTCTAAACAAACCAGGCTTCTGTAATAGGGGTGTACATATCTGCATTAAGAATTCAGAACAAACTTTTTTAAAAATCAAGAATCAACATTTTTGTTTTTCACATGCCATTTTCAGGCTTTTTAAAATATTCATTTGGGGAAAACTTTAACATTAATTTTATTAACAAAAGCAACACCACAAATAAGTTAAACAGAAACAGATTAAGCCCTGTCCAGACTATCAAATTTTATTTGAAAAAAAAACATGTGACATGCCTAAATATGGTCATGATTACATCACAACCTGACCATATATAGGCACATCATGTTAGTCTGGACAAAAATTTACATAATCATGTAACTTACCGTTCAGACTGACTAGTATGTAAGTGTATATATTGGGTAGAATTCTGATCAATGCTTTTTCTAATCACCGGGTAAGCTTCTGACTCGCAAAAATTACACCACGTACGCATTGTGGATAGATTAAGGGCCAAGGCATGGCGGGTGTCTGTCGAGTGCTGTGAGCTATGGTCATCATGAGATTCACCGCAGCCTAGGTTACCACATCCCACCTGGAATACAGATTTTAAATTGATGATTTCATTCATATCTCCAGTGACTGAAATCAATACATTTCGCTTAATTTATTTGGTCTAAGAAACAAAAACAAAAAAACTGACAAAAACAAATGACAAAGAAATTTAAAAAATAACTTGATTGACCGGAATGAACTAAATCATTGTCTAGTGGCTCTCCGATGCCAATGAGAACATTAATTAGCATAATAGAGTCAAATATATAATCATTAAAAACATTAGTAGGATACAAGTTAAAAATTAGTATTAATGTTTAAACCATTATTATTATCATCATTATCATTTATATTCTATTCTTATTTTTATATGCATATACAGTATTGCAAATTTCTGATTAGCAATTCAACAATATTAAGAGATGCATTCCAGCTTTATAAACCATTGTTAATGTTAAAATATTTAACAAACCTGTAAGCATAGCCATAGGTTGGGTCCTTTGGCTGCACAAGAAGAACATTTGCCCTGTGTAAATATGAAAAAAAAAACATCAACATATAAACAAATTCTTGGCATAATCTTAAAATTCGTATTGAATCATTTGTGTCAATGATTTGTCATCATTAATTTTTTTTTATTTCTAATTTTTTTATCTTTACTTGCTTCACAAACATCAAACTTGTTACTTGAACCAATTAAGTAAAACTGTAATATTTTATCTTCCTTGTGGATACTTAGAATGGTAGACATACATCCCATTTTAAGTTAATGAATCAAGAACGAATTATTATATCATCAAAAGAACTTTCATATTATCAATTTCAACTCACTTTAGTAAAAATGTCTAGTTGCTTCTTGGTAAATTTTGCTGAAGAATTTGTATGAGGGCACGTCATGATGAGCAGCTCTATAAAAATAGGAAATGGAGACAAACTGATAAATTGAAAATACATGGGCAGATAGCAAATCCAAGGTGGGGCATGTGTGAGGTGAACTGAGTGGCAGCCGTTCCCCACACCCACCCTCCCAAAACTTGTTCATCTTTTTTACACGGATGCACTGAAGTGAGGGAGTGTTGCAGCTACTACTACTGCTACTGGTGGTACTGCCTCAATCAGAACTTTATGTTAGGCCTAGGTACTCTCAGAGCAGTCAGTGTCCCCACTCTGCCTGCATTACTTACCACGTCCTCCTTCCCAGGCTGGCCTAGGAAGAACTAGCCTCCCTACCTAGGCGAATACCACCTAGGCCTAGGCTAGCTAGGGCCTCCTATGAGGTATGGTAGCTAGCCTATTAATGCCGAAACTAATTAATTAATGCCTAGGCCTAGCCTTCCCTAAGACTAAAATCACTTACAAAGTGATTTATAAGGTTCTGAATTGAGGCTGAGTCTGGATAAAAAAATAACAGTATGAATACTGAAGCGATGTGAGACCAGCATTGTATTTATACTTACTGTATTTGTGAAATTTAAGTCAAATTAAATTCTGATCATAGAATTCTCATTTTTATAATTTGCACTTTTTGCAAACTCCAAACTTACACACCGCCCTCTATGAAAATTTTTATAGTTCTTCTTAGAGGGCGTGCTCCTTGCAATCATCGTTTGAAAAATGATTAAAACAGTAATTTGTCTATAATAATAATATTCGTAAAAATTCAACACTGTACATGATTTGGAATATTTTATTGTTCATTGGTATATAAATATATGTGAACCTTATTTTTCGTTATAACAGTACACGTCCACATATTTTTTAGCCTTACCAAGAAAGTAGTTTCGGTTGAGTTCAATTCACTTCCGTACGCTATCTCAACATTTCAGCTAATATAAACTGTAAACAAACGTCTTATTTCAATAAAATGATGAGGTGATTGATAATATATTTTCATCAACCATATCTAGGTATGTTATTAATATTGTTTTTTGTTAAAAATATTTCTTAAAATGTTTAGAAACTAGGCAATTGTTGGGACATTTATCCTGAAGCTTCACTCGTCAGTGGGATGCTAAGCCTACCTAACACTGCAACAGCGAAGGTCAGATTCTCACTAGCCGCTCTAACTCACTCAGACCTATCAAAACATTGCCACATTTGGTAGGCCTAGGCCTAGTACTAGTAGTGGGATTCCTAGTAGTACGTCAACTGCTAGGGTCCAGACCCAAATGAACTTGCTTGTAGAATTAATAAACAGATGGATTATTTATTCTTTTTTTAATTTAATACTGAAGAAAACGTGATTGAAATAGATTGATTTAAAAAAAGTTGCTTTATTTTTAATTCATCAAAATTCAATGACTGAAAAAGCACTAAAGAAGCCTCCTATTCTAGGCCCTAGGCCTAAATCTCTGAATCTTTACCTTAAATTTTCAAAATTTAAGCATGGCACTCACTGCGTCATATGTCATACAACCGTTGGCTGATGAATCCAATTCCACTCCCTGTTAGCTTTAGACACTGCTGGTTGGCGGTTGCAGTCTCTAGGCCTAAATGGATTGTCATTAAAATACTAATTAATAGACAGTATTTGTTGTGTGCGTTTTATGGCATTGCGTTCTCCATGAAATTGCATTGGCCAACGATTTGTGCGCATGAGTGCCCGGCTTTAGAGATCTAGGGCCTATGCTTATCCTCTTTAGTAGTAATATACGGGCTAAACTTAACTTAAATTGGTGGCCAGACCAGACTTTCTCTAAGCCTACAGTACTTTGAAACAGTTTACTGATCTCTAACACACCACATCACAAGGAAGCGGGTTCCAATCATCAGTAACTCGAACTGCAAATGCCTTTTTTCTAACAAGTACTTTATATTGTTATTTGTACAACTTGTCTTATCCTATTTAGTTCAGACTTGTCCATCACTATCAGGAGAGGGCATAAACATTTTTCAGACTGCCAAAGTGAATTATAATTTTGCCTTCCTTACGGCTTTGATAGAGTGGTGAGCTTCATCAATTCCTGGGATACCAGTCTATAGTTTTTAACAAAACAAAACAAAAAAAAAAAGTTTACATTTTGATTCCAATTTACAACTTACAGACAAATGTAGTATACATTGTACAGATTTTATTGTATCCTTTTTTAAAAGTACTGATGTAAGGCGGCCAGTCATAACAACGTGGGTTTTCGAGGCAATGATGAATAGGCAGGCCACACAAATACAATTTTAGAAAGCACTTTCACAAGCTGCAACAAAATTGCCTGCGTTCCGCACATTGCCCAACTGTGACATACATGTTCTTTTTACCATAGATATTTTCTTTTCTTCCAGGCCTAGATCTGCAATGTCAGGTAGTATGCACATAAGGCCTGTACAAGAGCCAATACTGTCAGTGCCTAGGTCAACATCAACACATACTGGATCTTCACTGAAAGGTACAATAATGTCATTGATCAGTTTGTCTAATACAAAGTTATGATAAAAGCTAGGCCTGCTATAGTATGTACGAAAAAATGATAAAATATCAAGTCTTGGCAGTTTTACAAACTAATTATTTATTTATTGAATATTATTTTAAGACCACAGAGTCTATTATAAAATTCCTGTTTACATATTGTTTAATATGCATGTACTGTACGCTGTTAAGTCTGAGCTAGGTGAAAGGAATTGATAATACTATATAACAATGCATAAACTTTTTTTATTACTTACAATTTATTTCTCTAATTTTAAATATTGTTTATTTAGGCCTAGTCATGTACAGGCATTGCTGAATTGGATGACATTTAAAAATTATGTTGAAAATATATTATTGAAACAAATAAAGACATAGTGTGTAGTGTAACGCTTTTAAATTGAACAAAAAAAAATCAATGTCTTTCTCTTCGCTTTTAGGAAAATTAGTTTTGGAATAAAAATTTAGGAAATAATATTTTTCATGTCAAATAACAGGTGCTTAATACAGTCTCCATTCTTTACACAGTAGATCCTTGCAAGTTAAGAATATTTTAATGTCTGTAAATTGCAAAATTTTGGGGAATTTTTAATGTTTTAATCAAATATATAATTATGCATTTAAAATGTTTTTTCATAATAATACAACAAAATGTTAAATACACCACTAAATGAAATGCCATTCTTAATGTACTGTACGTTGTAGCTGAGAAAGCCATTGAATTCTTACCTAAAAAAGCAGAGTTTAACATAAATTTGTGACTCATGGGCTAATGTGGGTCAAACCAATGCTGAGTCATGGTCCAGTTTATCCTAAGTTCAAAACTTTATACCATCCACTTGTTGAATTTATGGTCATGAGTAATACAATAAAAGAAAAGGCAAACCTTTTACATACAGTAGGTTTCAGTCAGACATGTTTGTTTTTTTCTTTTAGGAACTATATACCATACATTATTGATATTTGCATTTTTTAATTCATAAAGTTTATTGAATATTGAATAAAGTGTGTTTCCATCACACAGTAATTTAACATACTCTTTCTTATTCTGTTAATAAAGTTAAAAAAAAGTTTAACTTGTTTGTTTAAGCTTTGATTGAATACACTGTCGTGATGATGCGACATGAGCATCTCCATAGATTGTTGTTATTGTTGTAATTCATTATTATAGGTACTGTTATGTTAAATTGGGACAAATACAGTAATGTATTTATTTGCAAACAAATATAAAAGCTGACCGTAGATTTTCACTTGTTTGTTTCTGTTATAGAACTTAATTCAGCATGGGAAAGTGTTGATAGGGCCAAACATGCTGTAAGTATTTGTACACTATAATTGCTCAACAAAGTTTATTTTGAATTTTAAATTGACATACAATAGGAAATATATCAGATTAATTATGATGTATTTAAATGATTATACCATGGAGGAATTACTTTTTTTATGAGTATCAGTTAAACAGTTTGTTTTCCTGAAGATTCTCCCAGTAGTGCATTACTTCTAGTACACTAGCCAAACAGTGTTTATCTGGTAAAATTCCTTCATAGAAATGCACTTTTTGCAATTCTGATGTCAATTTCAAGCTATTTGATTATAATAATACAATTATGTCGCCCTACAATTAAAGACAGGGTTTCCATGGTCTTTGATCTCTAATTAGAGTAATAAATATAAAAGATATTTGTTACTTTAAAACCAGAGAAAAGTGGTCTTTAATTGGAGGTGGACTTTATAGACCTGCATTTATATAGCAATGAAATATAAATATTGAGGACTGCACTTCAAATGTAATAAAAAAAAACAAACAAGGATTCTAAGAGTAACAGGATCAAGGAAGAAAGACAGTTTATTATATGACAGACTACGGTATTACCCTCTTTGACGGAACTTGCATTTAATATAATTGATACTGTTATGTTTTAGTCAATGTAAGATGTGCATTTCATATGATACTTTGTTAACTCTATTTAGCTTGAAAGAGCAGAAGCAAGGCTCCATGAGGCCGAGGGTCCTTATGGAATCCTTACCCCAATGGACACCACCACAATGACAGACAGGTCAGACACAAGGGTCCCAGTGGATAGGGTACCAACATGGAAACTACACTCACCCCCTCCACTACAGGTAAGGATACAAATCTACAGTACTGACATATTTATAATATTGTAGTAGGCTGGTAAATTGTGTGTAACCTGATAGGGAAGGTAATATACTATCTGCCTTGCTTTCTCTCAAAATTTAAAGGATACTTGCTTGGATAGTGAAATTGCTTCTGTACAAATCCTTGCAACATGACGTAATACTTATGCAGAGAGTCGAGAATGCTGTGTATTGTTATGCTTGTCTATGAAATGAGGATTTATTCAAAATCTAAAAAAAAGTATGATGTTGAAATTGAACATTGTTATTAAACATGATAAGATAATCTGGTAAAAACTAGAAATGTAATAATTGTTCATGGTGTGTTCCTGATGCCATCAATTTGATTTATTTTCAGAACACTGTAGCTGACAGGTATAGTGGTAGAAACAAAAACAAGAGAGTAACTATACAAGGTATGTTGGCTGTGACCTGTTTGTTAATTATTAATTTTATTAACCATTGATTATTAATTTCTATTAGGTAGATATACTGGTTACATGCTAATATTTTCACTGGACACTTCAAACTATTGAAAACAATTTTTTGTTGGTCATTGTTTATCTAGTCTACTTTGTGAATACTTACATTCATAAACAGGCTAATTGTCCTTTCTCTCCCTTGATTTGTGTAATATTCTATATGCACTAATTAAAGAAATATTTCTTTCAAAGTAACTTTACTACTTAGATGCAATATATACTCTTCCCCACAAAAATTCAAATAAGATTCTAGCAGTATTCTGGTATTAAATTATATGATATAGGGGTCTATTTGTTTTAATCTTCTATCCAACATATAAAGTTGACTAACATCATTTATTAAAATAATAAGTCATTCTTTGGTTTTCTTAAATTTTACACTATTGTTATTGTTTATGTTATCATTATGGTTATGATTGTCGTTATTAGTTACTGTATAACAATTTAAAGTACTACTCTTCATGTAATATGTTTACAATTGCAAATTAATCAATAATTACTTCAGAAAACAAAGTAATTATGAAAAAATTAATGAAATAAACATAGTTCAACACAATTCTGCCTTATAATAAATTAGTGACTTTATTTTAGAATATTTCAGATCAAAAGGTAAATAATAAAGTTAAATTGACCTGCTGCTGTATGTGTCTGTTTTACATGGTATAATGCTATTGATGTTAATTCTTCTTTATTTGTAGAAGATTCAACAACTTGTGTCAGAGATAGGCTAAAGCTTGGTCTTAGTAATGGCTACTATCGCAGTCCACATACCTCACCGTCAGGTAGTCGATCACCAGTTGGGGAACGGTCCTTTCTGCATCAGAACAATTCTGGGACAACAGGTCAGAGTTTCACCACAATTGAGACACCTACAAAGATGCACTACCTAAACGAGCCTGTTCCTCCACACTCAGTAGGTTATACTTCAGCTTACGATAAACTGTATGGTCCTCGGAAAAGGGACTTTCATGTGCAAAATGGCAGTCTAGGAAAGCTTAGGTCAAGAATAGAAGAGCAAAAGCAGGAAATTTTGAATGGAAGTAGGACTAAAGATTATATTGCACCAAGGCGCTATCATCAAGATCAGGACCCTGTGCTTACATCTGATAATTTAAACTATGATTGGCCTAAGAATGAAACCACTAGGTTGACAGTTAGAAAGGTGGCAGCAGCTCCCCCTGCCCCGGTCTATAAGGGATTCAGTTCGGCGGAAACCAGATATGCACTTCCAGATGGACGTATTGTGAGTGGAAGACATGATTCTGTCAGGAATAGGAGCCCAGACAGGAAAAGGGCAATTAAAACAACTAGAACATCTGAAATTAAAAACAAAGGAAATGTGGAAAAGCACAGAAAGGTTAATGAAATGGAAAGTGACATATATCGAAAAACTGTAGCAGGCGCCCCTGCCATTATGGTACGCAAACGTGCACACAACCCGAACAAACCTAACAAAAAAACTGTTCGTAAGGTGCATCAGTTTAAAGGGGACAAAAAGCCATTAAACCCAGAAAAGCATGGTACTGTGTCGGTAAATGCATGGCGTAACAGTCATAAAACTGCAATTAAAGTCCTTGGACCTGCTCCTAAATTAAGAAAGGTCAGTGACCCACAGCCTGCTTTGGACCCAAAGAAAGAATACCCACAAACTCAATATACTAAAAAAGATCAGGATATCGAGGATGCCAACATATCAGACCACCCAATTGAGTCTGATGATGATAAAGATCGTTTAAGTAATCCTGATGGTGCGTCGCATTTACCAGCGGATGCCAAAGGTGTTTTGAATGATCTCCACTTGGAGTCTGATGAAGAAGAAAATAGTAAATCTAATGATGCCATAAAACATACCTCACCATCTTATTCACAAAAAGCACGCAAATGTCGCAAGTCAAAAACGTCACAAAACAAACCTATTAATCATTACGATGTTCCAAAGGTGCGTAGTTATGACTCTAATGAAGTACGGCGGTATATGGCGAAACAGAAAGCGGAGAGAAAAAAACGAGAAAAGGAAGAGAAGGAGCAGAAAAATTTGGCCGAAAAGAAGAAACAAGAGCAACTAGATGCGCTGTTCAGGAAACAACAAGAAAGTTGCAAATCTAAAGTTGTCAGTGGACGTGTGCTACAACCAAGGCTAGATCAGACTTTCCTCAAAGAAACTAAACCCAGTCATACTCAGGTAAGGGTTGTGTTATTTTTTATATTAAATATATTGTTGCTGCTGCTGTTATAATTTTTATTGTTATTATCTATAATAATCCTTTTTTTTTTATGGTAAAATTGTCTGTTCTCTCAGTATTTTCTTTGGTGTATAAGTTTATTCAAGATTTGTCTTGAGTTGAGTTGAATGAATGTTCACATCCTTTTGTATCATTTTGCAAATTAGTGAAAGACGCTTTTATTATTGTTATTATGATGTTTCAAAAGAAGTAAGGTTGGCTATGTTAATTTCATTTAGGCTTTAAAACCTCTGCTGGCAGTGTTGATGGATGGTTTAACCCCTTCTACCACCCCTGACATGATCTTGGTACTGGGTTGCGGCCTGTTTTAATACATTTGTCACACGTCACAAAAACTGCTCCTTATGCTTGTATTAGGCTAGCTTCATATCTAACTTCTAATGCAAGATAAAGAAAAAAAGACATTTGCTGAGTATTCATATGATTTATTTATATATCATTTTACATTTATCACTAAATGAGTGAAATGTAAAACTGTACACAGTATTGATTTTTAATGGGATAATATAGAAAAAAGAAAATATCTAATAATAAAGAATGATTATTTGTTGACTAGATTGTTGCTGAGATGAGTGGATCAGACAAGGAAAATAAACAAGCTTGGAGTCCTTCAAGCAGTAGTGACACGCAACCTTCATTTTCTGGGTTGAAAAGGTAAGACATAAAAGAAGTTCACTATGTCAAACTAACTTTTTATATTTTTTATGTATGACATCACATCTGAAAAAGCCATATTATTGGTGTGTATTGGTGGGGTAGAAGATGAGTACATGGTTTTGAATAATTTATTTATTTTTTTACTTTACAATATTCTGCTAATTATGTTGTATAATACCCTCCTGTAATTAGCGGAACTAAATTGTGGGCATTGTTATTTATTAATATGAGTAAATATGAGGCATGTCGTGGCGAAATGGTTAAGTCGTTACAAAGGCCATTATTGAGTAAATGAGCTATGATCTCAAAAAATTTCCTAAAAAGCCAAATTTGTTTTTCACTATAGATCAACATTAATTAACCATGTCCCAAAGTATTTGTTCTGGAAGTGGTCAACAAATCGTTTATTTAACATTGTTTTGATAGTTAATACTGTTAAACAATGTATGCACAAATAACTTTGAAAGGCAATTACTCAAAATCATATTTATCTTGACTCAAAGACTGCTGTACCTTCACTTTCCAATAACTAATCCTTGAAATGTCCAATTTCAATGAATGACCCCTCATTTTATAAATCATATACTCAGCTATCTAAGTTGGATTTCAATTTTTGCTACAACTTAGCCATTTTGCCACAACATGCCTCATATTAATGTAATCTAAAAATTGTTTTTGTTAGACTTGATCTGCTTGGTATTGTTACAAGTGATGATACAAAGCCTAGCGAACAACCATTAATCATCAACAGCCATCCATCCAGTTTCTCATTCTTCTCTCAAGCCAAGTACCCTGCTTCTAGCAAGGCTATGGATGTACCAGCAAGTGGACCTGGGACTACTTACACCCACAATGGTTAGTAATTATTACATTACATAAAAATATATTTAATTTATTCAGTGTTCACTTGGATTTGACAAAACCTTAACAAAATTTGATATCTGTCACTGAACACAAACACAAAAGCTAGGCATACAGTATATAGTCTATAGTCTATATTTAATTTTCAATTGATAAGTGGCTAGTAATGAAATAGTACCAAATCTAACATACCTAGCATATAAAATTTCTCAGTTTTTATAATTAATTGATTGTTTCAGAGAGAAGCAAACCTACAAGTCGTTCAATGCGTATAGAATCGCTAAGAGCAACTGCAGCTGCCCTACAAGGCAGGTTGGAGAACGAGACTCGTCGTTTCACATCACAGTGGAGCAGTGCAGACAACAATGAAAACTCATCACGGTGGGCCTACCCAACTGGTGTTACTACTCGCCCTGTAAACACTAGCATAGCCTCAACAGTAGGCTCTACTACAGAATATAAACCACACTTTGCTAGCCCTGTACAAGACTGGCGTGCAAAGACTAAGCCTGTTATGGGTGCAAGTACAGCTTCAAGAAAGTTGGACTTTGATGATGGCATTAGTCATAGAACAATGTATAAAGATTGGGCTCCCGCCTCAACTTACTCTTACACATCTGCCTTGCAGTCGGATGGGAAATCACAATTTGCCGAAACTAGTGATAATGACTGGAGGACAAGGCATGAAAAAATTGTTGGGGAGGGATATCGTAGTGAATTCTCTGGTGATCTGCCTGGTAAGTTGTGTCAGTTATTAGTATACAAACACATTCTCTGTGTTAGATACATGTCCATTAACTATGTATTTCCAACCATTATCTGTTCATGTATTTTCTTGACCAATGATAGGAATGTCAAACCTAACGACAGGAGCAAGAAAGGCTGAGCAGTTTTCACTACAAACTGATGCGGCAACTCGGATACAAGCAGTTTACCGAGGCCATTCTGTACGGCAGAAGCTCGGCTCTTGGTTGTCTCATGACAAAGAGTTGGAAGACTTCAATGATGACGACATAGGTATTGATGATGAGGAAGATGATGAGCCATCTGAATACCAGGTCGGTCAGATATAGACAATTATCTAATATTTTTTGTGGGAAGTAAATTTAATGTGTTGCCTATCAAAAATGGGGTTCTGTTAGTTGAGTCTGATAAACATTTGTTGGTACAATACTTGCTTTAGTCTTTTTTGCTTACCTTTATAGTATCTTTAAATAGTAGTATCTGAATTCTGAACAATAACCCATCTAATTATCAAAATCATTGTTGTGTTGACTGTGTTGTGTTGTGTGACTCAACCATCTTGGTTTGTCCTTGAAAATTCTTTTTATAATTTAAAAACTTTGTCTTTACTCCAAGGATCTTCCAAGCGCTAAAGTGTATCGTTCAGAATTCCTGGGTAGGGAGAATTCAAAGGACAAGAGCCCTTCACAATTGCACAGAGATTATCGAAGTTGGAGAGACCACCACAGTGGAAATGGAACACCAGTTTCCAAAGTAAGGAGAAAATTTGCAATTGTGTCAAGCCTAAGGAATTTAAACAATTGAAGAGAATGTTATTGTTAAAGAAATGATAAAGTTTATAAATGTTCGATTACACTAAATTTCAACCATATTCCATGATGGAATAGGACTATGAAGCTTGAAATTTATTTATCATTGTATATACAGTATAAATTAAGAATCATTAATATTAAAATTTTTATTGCCATTCTGCTCAGCTGGCTCTAGTTTTTATTATTGTAAAGATTCTTCTTGATTGTGGCTGACGCAATGCCATGGAGAACGCAACAAGATGAGGCATGAGTAACAGATTATTTTTGAACGATTTCCTTTTTAGTCTGCCACCAACAATCAGCAGGCGGCACTTAAAGGCCGAAATTAATTTTAAAAAATTGTTATTACAGGAAACTGGTTTGTACACTGGAACACAGAGTCCATCTGATGGACAGTACCATACATACACATCAAGACCACGTACGCTAGGACACAGCTCACTAAAGATCCCTGATGACGGTCACAGTGTGATTGACATCTATACACGCCACCTACAGGCTCTCAGACAGGGTAAGTACCTCAATTTATCAGTGATATAATAATAATAATAATAGATGGATTTATATAGCGCAAATAAATGAGGTCTTTATGCGCACGGGGCTAGATGTTGCACTTTAAATAACTTTCTCCTCCCCTGAGGGTCACTTCATGTCCTCTGCAGCCAGTAAACAGGCGCACTTTCATCTGTCCACGACAGGGGCCGAGTGAGCCAGTACACCGGGGTAGCCCCCTCCTTATCTCGAAAGATGTACTGGGTTCTTTAAAGTGCACATGAGCACTGGGCCTACTGTTTATAGTCCTTATCCGAGAAGATTTGTTCCACCACCAGAGCTATAGGAACGAGCCCGCCGCGAACCTGTGCCGATATTGTTGACTATGATCACGGTACCCCTGCCTCAACCGCTCGGCCAAATGAGGAATATAATTGGAGGAGAGACTAGTTATTAGTCTTGGATTTAAATTTATTGTGGTCTACTCAAATTGTTGGGAAGATAGAACTTTCATCATAGCTTTCTTTGTTTTTTGAATTTTTTTTTTTGAACAATTTACTGATTAATAAATAATATCAAAAGAACTCTGAATTTATAAAGCACCATAATGACAAAAAAGCAATTAAAGTTCAAACCATTACATTCCCTAATTATTTTGAAAATAGTACAACATTGTTTTTTTTTCTTTTAATTATCCCAGACAACCATTTAGCATATTTGTCACATAAATCACCAGTCTATGATGAAGACTTTAAAAAGTTACCTCTCAAATCGCCAGTCTACGAAGATGATTTCACAAACGAGAGTCTATCACACATCTCACACTCTCTAAAGAGAGAAAAGTCTGGAAGTGCAGGCTTACCTGTATCAAAGGGCTCACCTGGTACAAGAACTGACAGTCAGATAAGTGATTTGTTTAGCAGCTCCATCAGTACAGGTCCTAAGGTAAAAATAGTCACTGATTACATGATGTTGTGGTAGTTGTGAGATGATGATGATGTTGGTATGTATCTTTGGTGATTTACACAGAATCTTTATATATATATAGCCCCATTACTCAAAAGAAAGCAGCATTGTCGTGAGCTTCAAGTTGACAACATAATTAACTTTGAGTCTGAATTCATCCTTATGTGTCAGTGCAAATGAAAACGTACTATACTGTACGTTGTTGATTGTCTGTGATGAAACACATGGAATTACTAACTTCGAGACACACACACCCACTGCATTTTAGAATCTGCTGAATGCACTGTATTGTATTTTTGATATAGCATATCGTGAAGGAAATGACTAACTACTTATATTAATTGTGTCTTTGCAGCCTACTTCAGTGGTATCGGATGCTGCTCCCTCCTACACTAGCCCGACTCCATCATCAGGCCTTGACAAATCATTAGAAGGCAAGCGCAGTGATGAGGATTATCGCACTCCACGGTCTTCCAAAGGGTATGTACCATGGAAGATATTTATGACCAATGTGAACTGAATTTTTAACTACCAATCTATTTTGCTTTCTTATATAGATATTAATACTTTACAATTTGTATATAAATTTTAATGTTGATAATTACAGAAGCCCAGCATCAACTTTATCTCGAACTTCAAAGTCATCTCCTCACTCGTCAGCAGGCAGCTCACCCAGACTACCCGACCAGTACATTGACCCAGTAACAGTGGAGCGCCCTCAACCGAGTGGTCAAGCAGGGAAGGACAGTCAAATCCCAAATACACAGCCTGTTGATGTCAGCGACTACTCTCAACAATCTAAGAGTGTGTCCAGTACAGCAAACATCAAGAAATCTGACCCTGTGCAGTCTTTGTTGATGGGTGAAACAAACAGTAAAAAAGGGATGTCGCATCCAGTCATAAATCAAGCAGCACCCAGTAGCTATCAGCCTGGTGTTACTCAGGCGGATTTACCAAACAGACCACGAGAGCATCAGGTAAATATGTTTACTTCATTATATATTTAAATATGTGCTTAAATTATGTACTTTTGCTTTTATTTATAAGAAATCAATTTTTATGTATAATTATTCAGTATCAAAAAAATGTGAGTTCACAAAATTTATATAAATTACAAAAATATAATTGTTATTTACAAACTATATATATATATAATTGATTGTTTTGGATTTTTGTAGTTACCAATTGATACTTCATTATTATTACAGTTTGATAGGTGGTACCCCTCTACTCTGCCTTCAAGTCAGCGTTACTTCTCTCCATCAGCCCTTGAAATTAAGATGGCTGCTGAATTAAATCGCTTAGATTCAGTTGATGAATCTGTTCGAAAATTAACAGAATTTGAGCAGACAAGAGCGATTTCTCTTGCCCAGCAGGAGTCAGTGTCCATTGCGCAGATCTTGAAGGCCCGACAGCAAGGTCATGAACGAGAACTTCACATTCTCTCTACCAAAGCACGCCAAGAAGTGGATGATGCCCATCGACAGTTGGAACAACTGAAGCAACAAGCGAGAGAAACTGCGTTGACTGCTGAAAAAACTCTTGCCCAGACAAGGAAAGATGCTACAGATGCAATTCAGCAGTCCACAAATCAAGTCCTGAAATCGCAAGCTGAAGCTGCCAAAGCTACTGCTGAAGCTGCTAAGCAACTGGCTGAGGTATGTATCAGTTTGTTTTGTGGCAGATTACCTAATGATGAAATTGAGTTTTTGAGCTATAACAGTTGATTAGATTGCAGAATATAGTTTATGCATAGAAATTCAGCAATTTATCTACTTTTTCAAATAGGCTCGTCATGCAACTCTAGATCACTCCATCCACCTTCGTGACTATGACATGGGCCAGATGGCATCACAGACAGCCTCTGCTGCTGCCGCAGCTGCAGTCAATGCTGCAATGGAACATCAACGTTCACATCAGGAGATGTGGATGGATCACATTAAGTCTACTATTCCAGAGGCTAAATCTGCCACAAGGTAATTTTGTTAATAATGTTAGGTATTTATATGGTGGTGAATGTGAACCGAGAGTGATGATGTATACATATTTGTTTTATTTAGGGGATGATGAGCATTGGATCTGTATTTTCAAACATGTACACATACCACCATGTACTGAATTATAGTTCTGGTTTGGAGAGAGACAGAGGCTGGAGATGGTATTGACCCAAACATTGGCAGCAAGGGTTTCAAAGCTGACCCATAAAGAAACTCCTACCAGACTATTTTTATTATGTACATTCAAAACATGTCCAATTTTTGTCTGTCCGTCTCAAAAGATTGTTTATGCTTGTTGCAGACAATCTATATATCAAATTATGTGTCCTTCCTTACTTTTCTCCCTTTTTATGAAAAAGCTTTCTTTTCTGTTATGTAAAGTGTTTTCTATTTTTGGGAATGTTTACCTGGTGTAAAACATTTCTGTATTCTATAAGGTTGATTATCGTAATTGTTTTTTTTTTCCATACAGAAGTCCAACAAGTGAATCCAGCAGACATAAGATGAGTTCTGATTACAGTGATGATTTTACCAGTTTTGCAAGTGATAAAGAACCACACAAAAGCAGGTAATGCATAGGAACATCCACTGTATTATATTTTTACTTACACTAAACTACTGATGATGCACTAGCGTTGTCTGAAAGCCT